GAAAACCCTAGAGAAGATAGAAACCCTATCCTCCTGAAGTTCTAACCCCCCAAGACTGAGAAAACGTAGACCTAGGGCACAAAAACCCTAGATCAAAACCAAAATTAGGGTACAACAACCCTAGATCTAACCCTTTATATCAGAGATCGGCTAGTCAACATTCGAATCTAAGAGGCAAAGAGGACCGGTTTTGATACGGGCGAGCCCTCGAAGGCTCGAGAATCCTGGGCCATTCGGCCCGGTTTGGTATTATTTCTTCTACTCTCTTTATTCTTCTTTTTGCTATTTTGCTTCTTTTATTTATTTTTTATCTGTTAACTAGTCTTAAAAATCATATTTTAATGCTCTGGATCATGTTAGCTCTGCCACAGAAATGAAAGTAGATCTCCTCGTTTCCGAGTAAATCTGGCCTCAGATCTGAATCCGATCTGTCCCACTTTCTCTACCACTTTATTTACATCTTTTTAATTAGTTTAAGTTGTTAAAATTCGAGAGATCTTCAGTGAAAGATCCATCAGATTTCCATCGTAAACAACTTTTACATGAAGTCAGTCCTTGAGTGACTTCTTGTATCACCGAGCTAGGTTCTTGAGCATGTGTTTCTTGACTTGAAACTTAGATTTCGATGGCGATCCACCCTTTTCTTATCTTCTCTTCGATCAATGACTGGAACCCAAAACACTGAGATATGTTGTGGCCTACTATTTGGTGGTATAGGCACCAAAGATCCTCAGTCCCTCTAACTATGTACCTGGGTTGCCGCGATGGACAGGGAGAGATAACTCCCACTCAGACCATCATGGTGAATATGGCAGGGAGAAGGTCGAGTGGCAACTCATCAAAATACTCCCCTTGAACTTGCTCTTCTTCCTCTACTACGACCATGTGGGAGGCTTCTGTGGTCCAAAATGCCTTCTTGATGTTGTCCAACTGTATCTGACCTTTCTAAATCAGTGCCTCAATGTGGTCCTTAAGAGTGAAGCAATCTTGGACTGGATGTCCCAGCATCCTGTGATACGCATAATACCTCTTGTTATTTACCAGTCCGGCTTCGTCTGGCCTTTTTGCCTCAAGAAGGGAAATCATTGCTTGTCCCAGTAACATCTAGAGGAGTGTTGGAACCCACTCCTTATCGAAGCTATAGACTTTGCTCCTCTTCTCTTCCCAATAGTCCCTTTGGTGGAGGCCTTGGGGTGGTGGCCCTATTATAGGACTGCGATTATTGCTGCCCTTACTGAGGGGGTCTCCTAAATTTTCAAAGATAATAAGCCTCTGGAAGTGTTCATAGTCTGAAGAGGGGTTTGGTCAACAGCCTGCTTGGTGCTGGAGACAGTGACTGCTGCACTAACCGCACTTCTTTGTTGGTTGCCCACGATTGTTATTGGCATACTGACTCGCTCCCCCATCCAAGGCTCGCAACGAGGTTCCCCCATGATGTTTAAACAAGCTTTCAATGCGAACCATCTTGAAGATCAGTCCGAAATAGTAGTGAGGTTTGAGGCTTTGACGTGCAGTGAGATCTCAGGTCGCATATTGTGAACACAAGTCTATACTGCGTCGATTTCTAGCATAGGGTTGCTTTGGCATGTAGCTAAGTCTTTCCATTTGGCGATGAACTAATCACATATGATGTTTACTTGGATTGAAGCCCTCGACATCATGGTCGCAACAGACCTGCATTCAAGTCGATCCAACGTCGAGGCTTCATGATATGACCGTTTGATCAAAGGGAGCTCTTGTTTGTAAAAATCTACAAAGCATGAGTTTTCTTAAGCGGCTTCTCTCTAGGATTTCTTCTGTCTCGAGTCGTGTCATGGGTCTGCCACACATCAAAACATACATGACGACGAGACGAAGATCCTCCTGAAATTTGAGCTTAATCCGGCTTAAGATGAAGACGTTATGACCTTTCAAAGATGATCCTGAAATCATATTACACAGTTTTCATTCATAGAAACTGGTTCACCGAGGATGCACCAGAATAGTGTATAACCCACCTTTTTTAGGTAAGTTGGCCATAGAATGGTTCAGAAGTATCTGAATGAGCTGAAAGTTGATATCTAAGGATTTTCGGACATTTTGAATCCAATGTAAGTAGTCTGGTGTTCGTTTGAAGCTTTGGTGATAGGTTTGTAGTTATAAAGTGCATTGTCAGCATGCTAAAGGCCGAACCTGAAAACTGATTTTGTCTCTAATCCACCTTAACGTCGTCGGATCGTGATGAAACTTGGCGGGTAGTCTTAGAGAGCCAAGTGTTACCTCCACATGCTTTTTGGGAACCATCTATTGCCTTTCAAAAATCTGCTCCAGATTGGGGTTTATTTTGATAGTGCTTCCATGGTCCATAGGCACTTTGCCACCTGCGAGCCCAGGTCCCGATTGGCTTCCTCTTTATTCACTTCGGGGATACAAGTGTCAAAAAATACCCTAAAACACATATTAAATAAGTGCGTTTCAAATTTTCTAATATTTTTAAACTTAACCAATTTTTTTACTACGATATGTTGAGCCTAGTCCGATATATTTGTGATATCGATGTCTTTATATGAAGTATTTTTACCGATCTGTATTTTGTACCTGACTTTTTCATACGACTTTTTAAAATAAAAACCATTTAGTTTCAATTTTATGGTGAGCTAAATTATTGATAGTCCCCAACTTACTAACTATGGGGTAGAGAGAGAGACCGCTTAAAAATTCCAGAGTCAATATATCAAGAGAGAAAGAGAGTGCGAGTAGGGAGAGAGGAGAGAGAGGATCCATAAAGATAGAGGAGAGATAGAGATGATGGGTAGAGAGAAAAAGATAGAATAAGAGAGAGAGAGGGCAGGTAGACAGCAAAATAGAATAGAAAGTAAGGCTCATGAGTGCCTTCCAGCAATGTAGAGAGAGAAAAAGAAAGGTGGTGAGAGAGAGAGGAAAAGGGTATTATAATATATTTTTTTTTTTCCTTTTTGACTGAGGTACATACAAGAAAAAATAGTGTCAGAGTCTGGAGTATGATACTAAAAGTATTGGAAGTTGAGTGTCTACAAAATTGATTTTGAAGAGGCAACTACAATTTTCCCTATTACAAACTTGGTGAGCCAGCCCATCCACGAACGAACCCTATGACAGACTAGTTCGGTTAGAGAGGCCAACGGAACTTCCTAATATTTCATGGGAATTTATTCGTCTTCAACGATTCTCATTATGGATTAGCCAGATCAAATATGGATCAGGGTTTTTTAAAACATTGGATTGGCTAAGTGCCTCAAACTACATAAGGAAAAAAATGCAGAAAAATAGAGTGGTAGGCCCTCTTGGCATCTCTCAAAGGTAATGCTTAAGAAAACTTATGGCTTGGATCCACCGCCTAAAAATTGGGCTGGATCAGTAAATCGGCGGTCTAGATCAGAATCTTGGATAGAGCCAGTGTGTTTGGCTTCTAAAAAATTTCAAAAAATCATCTAAAAATTTTAAAAATCTTCTTTAAGACAACAAAAAAATTTAGGGTTATTGCAATATACATTTTTATTATTTTACCAAGAATACATAAATATTGAGAAACTTATTTTATATTTGAGTGTTTATTGACCATTAATTATAACTAGATGATTATTTCCAAGGAGAAAAAATTGGAGTTTGAGTTCTTAAACATCGAAGAACATTCCCTCAAAAAATTAAATGGTTCAAGTGCAATCTAGGGATGCTATTTTTAAGGCACATAAAGAGTGAGAGTTAATTTTTATTTTTTTCCTTGGAGGTCGGTTTTTGGATTCTATAAAGGGAAAATTACAAAAAAACCCCAAGACCACACTTTCTATGCAACTTACCCGCAACCTAACCTTTTCTCTCACTTTTTTCCCTCAAACAAACTTTCTATGCAAATAACCCCCCAAGGGAAAAAGTTCATTTTTTTTAGATGGAAATTCCCTTCCCATACACAAAAATCATTTTGAACAGATTTTACGTTGACTTTTGGATCCTAGTAGCACATTGCTGGAGCGCACTATCACATTGCCGCCAGAGCGCACAAGCCAGAGCGCACAAGTGCCGGACCACCATTTATGTAGTGCTGGAGCCTTGGAATCCAATAACATCTACTACCGGATTGCCCTTTGCAACTGTTGGACCGCCTTTTGCAACTGTCGGATCGCACTTTACACAGTGCCGAAGCCCTACTGATGGACCACACTTTACACAGCATCGAAGGCCTACTGCCCGACCGAACTTACACAGTGCTTGAGCCCCTATTTTGGCGGGATAGGGGAGAGAGAGGCGTGGGTAAGACAAACAAAAGGGAGGGTAGAGCCTACTGCCTGACCGAACTTACACAGTGCTTGAGCCCCTATTTTGGTGGGATAGAGGAGAGAGAGGCGTGGGTAAGACAAACAAAAGGGAGGGTAGTTTAGGTTTTTTTTTTGGTTGGGGGGTATTTTCATAGAAAGTGTATTTTGGAGAAAAAGTTAGATTGGGGGTAAGTTGCATAGCAAGTACAATCTTGTGGGTAATTTTCCTCCTATAAATCACAACCCTAAAATTTGGAATCTAAAATATATTCCCAGTTTGGCCTTTGGGAGTAGATGGGTAGTAATATTCCCGAAGGTGTTGGAAAAATTTTGGTTTTTGTTTTCTGATATTTATTAAGAGTGATTTATTTATGGACTCTAAAAAAAAAATTTAAAATATGAAGTACTCTATTTATAAGCAAAAATTACCAAGAAAGTTGTTCAACCAGTCTTTTTCTAATTTTTCCAAAATTTCCTTTTGGTTTAAGGATGGAATACTCATTCTGAATTTTATTTTTTGTTAAATAAAAAAAATTTGGTCGGAAGAATGAGGATGTTCTCGGACCGAAGGGTAATTAAAAAAAAAAAAGTAGATTTACCCATGTTCTTTGTAATTTTCACCTATAAATGGATCATTTCGTATTTTAGAAAAACAATTAAGGTATGTACTTGAATCACTCAAAAATAAAACAGTGTGTGGTAGCCCAATACAGATGCTGTAAGGAGGATTTCTACAAGACAAGGGGAGGCTCCGAAGTTTGTTAAGAAAAGTTGTTTTGTTTTTCCTTATAATGTTATTGGGCTCAGTCAGAAAGATTCCTCATACAAAAGCAACATAAAGGGCTGTTACGGCGTTGCCATGATTTGGGTTTTAAATTTGATGCTTTTTTCAAGCTATGGACGAGGCATATTAGCGTTTTCATTTTATTTTTTTTTAAATTCTTGTTTTCTTTGTAACACTGTATTTCTTAAACAACAAGATTTAATGGCCATGGCTCGTGGCACCGCAACCTCTCCACTGTTGGGCAGCGACGACCACGTGAAAGGGGCCACAGATATCAATGGTTGCCCTGCAGCAAGATCTAAGACAGGAGGATGGCGTTCCTCATTATTTCCCCTTCTTCATCTTGAATTTCTGTTTTGTTTTTTTTGTCTTATTTTTTCCCTTCTTTTTGGATGAAACAAGGCGTATGTGCGGTGATTGTAGGGGGAGAAATTGCAGAGCACATGGCCTTCTTTGCAGTTTCCTGCAATCTCATAAGCTACCTCACTGATTACTTGGGCCAAAGCACCTCCACAGCTGCGAAGAATGTCAATGTATGGTCCAGTATCGCTGCGTTACTGCCCCTGCTCGGGGCATTTGTTGCCGATTCTTTCTTAGGCCGCAACAAGACCATCCTGATCTCCTCCCTGCTCTATCTTCTGGTCAGCTCTCTTTCTTTTGATTGTTTTGGTATTTAGTTTCCTATGATCATGGAAACTGCGGTGCTTTGAAAATCAGTGGTCAAAGCGTAATTGTCGACCTTCGAGGAGAGGATTAAGGTCCAGGGAAACCCAGAATCACCTGATTCCCCTAGTTCCTGAAGTGTTTTCTCCAAATCACTGAACCAAACTGGTTTGGCAGGTGAACCGTTAGGAACCCTGTTTGGGGTCATAAAACATTGCTCAGGACTCTGTAATTTGTATGTTTATATGGCTGGATAGTAGCATGAATTCTTACTGATAAGTGAGAGAGATGTCCTCAACAGGGGTTTGCCTTGTTAACTCTCTCAGTAACCCCCACTTTTCGCCCCAATTCCGGAAGTAACTGTAGAGAAGGGCTCCTCGGCTCTTCCCCCTCAAAACTGCGAGTGACTCTATTCTTGTTCTCCATCCACATCGTGGCCCTCAGCCATGGGGGACAAAAGCCCTGCATACAGGCCTTTGGTGCTGACCAATTCGACGAGGAAAACAAAGAGGAGAGGAGATGGCAAAGCTCCTTCTTCAACTGGTGGAATGTGTGGGTGTGTGGAGGCGGAGCCATTACTGTGTTGGCAGTATTGTTCATGCAGGAGAGTTTTGGATGGGGTCTCGGGTTCGGCATCCCGGCAGTTGCCCTAGCGGCCGGGCTTATAGTGTTTGTATTGGGGAGGGGAAATTATAGATTGGTGATGATGAGGGATGGGATCCCTTTTACGAGGATCGCTCAGGTCTTTGTCGCAGTGATAAGGAAAAGGAATGCGAGATGGGAAGCAGGAAGCGAAAGGGATACTCTGTTTGTTGTAGACGCAATTATAGACCAACATCCAACCAAACTTTTCAGGTAATGTTTCTGATAATTGTAGTTGTGAATGGTTATTTTCTTTTGGATGTCTTAACCTACTATTTCAATATCGGCACCTCAAAAATCGGCTAACCAGTGTTCTATGGCTAGCTAGCTCTAGTCGACTCAAACTTTCCTGAGTAGGGCGAGGCCAAGTAGGGACAGTTCCATGGCATCTCATCCAAGAAAAAAATATAAAAAAATAGAAAAATATATTTATAAATAGTTTTTTGGATAACTTCGCTAGTTCTAAGGTGATTTGAGAACTTTCATTTTTTTTTCTTCCATCTTTTACAAAGTTTTTTCATTGTTTTTAGACCTCTAATAATTTCTAAAATCTCTTTTATGTCTTTTCTTCATTTTAACTATTTTTATTTTGATTTATTTTTCCTTTTTTGGGTCATGCAAGACTCAGCCGAGTCTGCCCGATTTGGCCAAGGGCCACACTCGACTAAACCAAGGGAGAGTACCTTGGCCGCGTCAAGTTTCTGAACACTCGCTGCAAATAGTGAATTATGATTATGGTGTTTGACAATCCTTCTTCAGCTCTCCCTCTCTCTCTCTCTCATTATTTGTAAACAACACCTTTGCATTGTTATTTCTCTTTGGCTCTTCTAGTAAGATGGTGACAACTTTATAGCAATCATAGAGGTGGTCTATGGATATAGTATTCAACCTTTGATTAGAAGAACATTGCCGAAATAATAATTTTCTTTTTTTGGGTTGCAGTATGTATAGAGCCCAGGTAAAGTGCACCTTCAAATAGTATCGAGAAATGTGGTTTCAATACTAGAAATTTTTTTGATAGCCTTAAAATATAATAAGTAGATCGATCAAATCTATGAAAACTTGAAAATTTTGAAAATTGTCGGTCCAAAAATACATTACAAGATGCACTATTTTCAAAACTTGATATCCATGTTTTTTCTCATGTCCCTGCATCTTGATGTTGAGATAATCAATTTGATGATATTTGAACATCAAAAATAACCTCTTCTAATGAAATTCTTGGGGTGGCTCTAATTTAATTGTTTAGAGCCTCGGCTTTATATACAATTTTTCTCTTCTTATTTTTCTTGAGCGCTGGCCAAATGCTTTAATGGACGAAAAGGACAGGTATAGTAACCTGCAATCGTGATTAAAGTATTGTGTTTTAGCATTATTATTATTTTTTCCATGCCAAAAAATCATTGTTCTTTCCTCTCAGATTCTTCTGGAGATAAATTTGATTCTAACTATAAGAGTTCATGATTTTACTCTTTGTTTTTTTGCCTTGTTGTCTTTTGATCGATGATTCCACTATTTCACTAATTTATGCACTTAGTTCATAATAATTTATGCAAAGCCCCATCTTATGCTAGTGGCTCTTTCTCATAGACAACAATGAGAAATAGAAAAATTGATCAAAAGGAACGGTTAGGTGGAAGTTGATGTCGTTTACATCAAGCAACTATAAAGGATAAATTTTTAAAATATGATAATTTAACATTTTAAGCCATGAAAACTGTAGTATTTGTTATAATGAATTTGAAAGTTGGTCTTAAACAATATTAGAAACGCATGGAAATTTCATAGTCAAAGTTACTTTAATCTTTATATTTTAAGAAATCTTAAAAAAGCAATACAACGAGTCATCAATGAAATTAAAAAGGAATTAAAATTCAAGATTAAAAGATAAAAGTTCTATAGAGCCAGTTTTATATTTTAATATTATAGTAAGAAAGGTAAGCATAAAATTATCAGCAATGAAAAATAGAATGGATAGAATTTTGGGAAATTAATGGAAAAACCCCTCTGCAAGATGAATATTCAAGAAAAAACTCGCAGATTTTCCATTCTACCGTTAGATACAAGTATTTCGTCATTTTATTATCCCTAAATTAAACCCATTTCGACAACCAAAATCTAAACCTGGATCTTTTTTTAAGTGAAAGTCTGTGTTCGAACTTTGGATGTCTTTTTTTAAGGACCAATATGGACATACAATGTTTGAACCGAACTTTAAAGCTACCTTTTTTGATAGATTTTTGAGGTGCATCCATAGTTCTACATTATAAGGTTGCAACATTAAAATGTAGAATTACAGATGCACCTCCAAACATCCATCGAAAAACGTTGTCTTAATGTTGAAAAAACCTCTAATGATCATCTCGACATGGAGATGTATGAATATGATAAAAAAAAAGATTTTGGGACCCAGAAATAGTGCATCTTGCAATACATTATCTAGATTGTCCATTTTCAAGATTTTCATATGTTCATAAATCTACTTGATTTTAACCATTTTTTAAGTTTAAAATTTTATAATTAGATATAAAAATAGATTTTGAGACAATCCTTAGAGTGGTTTTCACCAAAATTACGAGTTATGATAAAATTTGGAGGTGCGCCTTAATTGGATTGTTTAAGGTTGCAACCATATATAAACCACACCATATATATATATATATATTTTTTAATTTTGATTTGGTTGTATCATCTAGATTCAATGAGTCTATTTTCTTCTTTAATTTACATTGGTGTTTATAATGTCCTATTTTACCACACTTATAGCATACTGGAAGTTTTTTCCTTTTCTTTGTATTTGGGGAAAATTTATTAATCAATTTTCTCTTGGTCTTTTTATAATATTCTTTATCCTTATTATTCTTTTTGGCTTTAATATATTTTTATTTTTTGTATTTTTTCTTTTTCTTTTTTACGTAGTCAGGCATATTGTTTTTTGCGAAGTCTTTCCTTGACTTTTTCTGCAAATAGATATGGAAGACCAGCTATGAATTTTTCCTTCCAATGGTCTAGCTGGCAATCTTCACGTATTAATAGCCTTGAAAAGAATACATCTTTATACCATTTATAATGAGAAAGAGTAGGACAGCGTAAATTAGATAGCAAGTCTTCTGATCTTGCTGCTAGTAATGAAGTACTGCCTACAAAATGTAAAGTGATTGTGTATATCAGGGTATTGACAGCATCACTTTCTGTATATATAACTTCTTGATTTTGTTCATTTCTTCCAGTCCATTGTCTAGTATTGTTTAAGATCCTTTGTTTGGTATCATCATCCACATAAAAATCCCACCATCCCCGTAACCATCCTGTAAATCCATTTACTATTGCTTTGGCAACTTCTTGATCATGGTTGCCGGCCATTTTATTTGCAGAGGCATACATGGTCATATGTCTCATGACATCTAATATTTTTAATTCAGATAATCCATCAATTTGCCAATTGACTATTGACCTTCCTGAATAGGATACAGCCTGTTGTATGGAATCTTCTTCCATTTGAATATCAACAGGAGTAGGCCGTTTATGGTAAGGTAAGGCTGTTATGGGTTTCCAATATTTTTCATAAGCTATTTTATTGATGGTGTCCATTAGAGGTGTAGTATACATAAAAGCTTTTTCCTGATTTTGGATTGTATCCTCTATTATAGGTTCTTCTTCTGCGAGCATCATTGTTTCATGCTCAGGTATGACAGCTTTTCCTTTGTCAGATGACTCTGGTATTTGGGAAGTGATGGTTGGTGGAGGAATATTGATTTGGGGTATTTGAGGTGAAGGTACTCCTTTAAGATCTAGTTGGGATAGTTTGGAGATTAATTGATCCATCAGGGATTTATTATTTTCTCCAATGTGGAATTTATTCTTATTTAATTCAGGAGGTGGTTTGAATAATACTGATTTAGGAATGGGAGATATAGTAGGTGTTTCCTTGGATACTATTCTCTCTATTCGTTCAGTTTGCTTTCCAAGCGATTGTAGATATAGGTTGGTATAATTATTCTGTTCTACAATATGAGGTATGTATTCTTATTTTTTATTGATTTCTTTAGGTATGGCTTTGTATGGGGTAGCCACTATATCATAGAAGGATGAGGAATGTACAGGTTCATTCTTTTTTGGAATGCCTGCTTTAAGTATAATACTTTTCTCCGGTGGATGTATACTAGCTGTTGTAGTACCATCAGTACTTATATATGTCTTTTCTTCTATTGTTTGAATTTTTTGAGTTTTATCAAATGAAGGAATAGTAATATTTTTCTCTAAGCACATATCTCTTAGCCAGTGAAAGAATCCTATATTTAATCTTTCTTTATGTAAGAACTTATTATATTTCTTATGTAGTAATTCCAGTAGTCTAGGTGGCTGAAACCTTTTTACATACCATTCTCGGATATTTTTATTTTCTTTTGATAAATAATCTTTTTTAATAAAAGCTTTATTTAGTTTCCTTTGTTTCCTTTCTAGCTTGGCGGCTAGATAGGCTGCTATATATTCTTCTGAATATTGAGTAGCATCATTACTCTCCTCAAGTTGTAATGTACAAACTTGGAAGTCTTGTAATTCTTCTATACTGGGTTCAATATTAAAAGTTGTAGGATGAGGTGTTGATGTATATGTTGGAATTACAATATTATCTCTGGTTCTATGTGTTCCTTGAAATTGTATGTTTGAATTGGATAAAGACATTTGATTATTGGATGAAGAAGGGTGACTAGGAGGAGGTAATATGATAACATTTGGGTTGTGGGAAATTGATTTCCTACTTGGTATATTTTGTTTACTATTTCTCTTCCTATTAATGTCAATATCATCATGTGTATGTAAATTTGTTTTTTGAAATTGTATTTCTACATTTCCATCTGTATGTTCAATGATATGATTGGGAATATGATGTTGAGGAATTTCTTGTGGTTGATTGGCATTTTGTAATGCCCATGATTGAGGTAGAATTATATCTGACCATTTTATGGTTTTTGGAACTATCATATTAGATTTTTCTATATTTGTTTGGAACAAAATTGTTTGATCCTTTTGATCAAGTTTTAAGGTATTGGGACTTAATGTATTCATGACCTTATAGTATATTCTATAGACTATAGCAAGATTTTGTGAACCATGGATCATATTGAATCCATGTGTTTTGAGATTTATTGTCAATATATCTAGGATATTTGGATCGGTTAACGAAACAGAAAAATTAGGAAAACAGTTAAAATAAATTGGA